GGGGGGGGGGGGGGGGGGGGGGCTCTGCCATGGTCCCAGGCCCCCTCCCCCCAGAGCTGGGGTCTGCCCAACTGTGGAGGTCCATGTGGCAGGGGCTTTTCACCCACTGCTGTGCCTGCTGGCTGTGCAGCTTGCAGGTGGGATGGGATTAGCCCAGCTCAGCCACAGCAGATGAGCACAGGCAGAGGCTAGCCTGCCCACCCTGCAAGGGAAAGTTAACGGAGGCTGCAAAGCATTCTTATATGCTGGGGGACTGCAACCTAACTTGGGTCGGAAGGGGATTTGAAACTGATCTAACTTAAGATGGTTATATCTGATACTACATCTGTCCAGGTCTATCTTAAACTGGGCTCTACCATTTTTTAACTAGTCTATGTACACTAAACTTCTGTTCCATTATGGGTTTAGCCTGGCTTCCAATCCTTATGCCGGTTTATGTGCAATTTCTGTACCTAACCTATAATTATTTGTTTAAAATTATCTAATAACCCTTTTTTTTGTCTTCAGATTACATTGTACTTAGCATTTAAATAACCAATTTTCTCAGGTTGTATTTCTTTAGCCTTACTGTTAGTTCAAGTGCCCTCTGTGCAGCAAGTGTTTATTCCTGTTCTCATTTTTGGGGTCAGGGAAGAGGTGAAATAGGTCAGAGTGGCAAATCTTCAGCAGAAGCTGATTACAGCCATCAACAGTGGGCAGATGATGCTGATGATATTCTTGAATATTTAGCCAGCTTTCCATGCAACATCCTCACTTCAGAGAATAATTGCATTATATTAAAGTGATTCAAACTCCCTCTAAATCATGTTGGTAGTGCTAAAGCAAGTTTCCAACATCACATTAACCAAAGTATTGTGAAGTATTAGTAGCAAAAAACTACTGTATGATGAGATGGAAAGGAATCATGGATTATGTGGTCTTTACTCCATAGTCTATCCTGTTAGAATGCACAGATTAAACTCTAGCTCCCTGAAGCTGCCAGTTTTAAGGCTAAGGAGAGGGAGAAAAAGCCCTAGGTTAAGGTAGCACAACCAAATTAACAGCAACAGAACTTTAAAGGCTGTAAAAATGTCTATTAAATATTGAACTTTCATTAGAAGCTCTAACAGACAATCGTTGGAGAAAACAGACACGGAGACAGAAATTGGTTTTCATTTCATAAGCAATGCTAAAATGAACTCCCATAGGTCACACATGGATTCATATTAGAGATCCTTTTGGGAGCCATGGCTGATGAACATTCGGCATTATTAGAAAACAGGTTCAACCATTTTAGATGGGAATGTGAAGAAAGATTTAAAACAGGGCTTAATATCTTCCTACAGCAGAAACAGTCTTACCACAGAAATAATCCTGAATTTTACAGCACATAGAAAAATATACTTCTCTAACACCACATAGAAAAATATACTTCTCTAACACCCTTAAGGTACATCCCAAAATGCATTTCTCTGTAGAAGGGTTCCATAGGGGGGAAAAATAACAAAAATATAAGCAATGATCATGCTGCCAGAAAATTCAAAACTTAAACAGATCTGAACTAATAATAAAAATGTTAAAAACAGAGTGACCTGAAGTTCTGACAGGCTGAGTCTGTGCTTAAACACATCAGGTAAAAAAAACAATAAAATAAAAAAGAACAGCTTAAGAGAAATTCCACAGTGTACCAGAGTTTCAAGGATTTTGAGATGGATGTTATGTCTAAATATTTTTGATTTAATCAACTATGAGAAGTAAATACACGATTTCTGTAAACACCTTAGTGTCTAGTCTATTCCTGAATTCCCCCTTTTGTGCAAGGTTAACTGTCATGGAACTCAACATTATCCTTAGCTCACATGGTTCATAGCCACATATTAAAATAAACTTTGTTCCCCAGGTGAGCGATAACTAGCGCATAAATGAATCAATAGACTGAATTACTAAATTAAGTACAAGAACTCCGTGAAATTCTCCAATATGTTTACAAGCCTAGCATCTTGAACACCAGCACCAAGCATCAGCTTCTGCACAGCCACAAAGAAAAAAAAATGTACAGTGAATTTAAAGCCATAGTGATACACATACACCTTTTTTTAAAAAAATGCGTGTAGGACATACCTAAAATCATGCCATGTGCAAGTCATAAGCATTCATCCTGCAATGACAAGGATGTCAAAGGACACTACGTAGGAAACCACCCTCATTTTATTGATAGCGTTTATATTCCCTTAGCCAAAGAAGGAAGAGCAAAGGCAGATAAGGTCGGACTGAGCCCTGATTACCTTCTTCCAGTAGCTCCAAAACAAGCTCTGTTAAACATAAATATGTACATTTAGAAAGCATCTGCAACAAGAGTTCTAGATATTAAATTTTTATGCACCTTTATGTCCGTAAGATATAGATAAATTAACTTGATCTCTTTTCCTTTTGTATTTCATTTTATTCATTCACATATTGATAGCACAGTCACTCTAGAGTCATAAAGTGAGATGCCTCACAGCCTTGTGGCTTTGTTCAATCAATGAGTGGGAAAAGATGAGTTTTCAAGGAGGTGCATCCTCCACACACACTTCAGTGATTATAAATACTGAACAGAAAAAAGAGGCAGTACAAAGGATCATAGAATGGCTTAGAATCATATTTGCTTTGTTTTTTTGTTTTTTTCCCCCAAAACTTTGACTAAGATCACAAGTTTATTGTTAATAATCTTTCCATTATGCTAGAGTCAACCACTAACTTCAAAAATGTCATTTCAAGCAAAGATGTTTGGTAAGTTTTGGGGTATTATGAAGCAGGAATAAGGATGTCAGAAAGGAGAACAGAATCTTGTACGAACATAAGCTTACCTTCTTCTGAAGAACATTGACCTTGCGTTCTTTCACGTCCAGCATATCCTTGAGATCATGGATTTCTCCTGCTTGAGTGCCTTTCTCCTCAGCTATCTCCTGAATCTGCTTTGTCTTCTTATTCAGCATGGTCTCCTTTTCCTCCAGACGTAACCGGAGTGCATCCACCTGAGTTGGCACATGCAGAAATATGGTGAGTAGGGAAGTAGAAAGCTGTTAGACAAGATACATATGGCACTAGAAAGTAAGTGCCATCAAACCGCAGATAACCCCAGGTAATCAATCTCCTCTCCCATTAAGACTGTGAAATACAACAGCTTTAGCAAAGAGGTTACTGTTTAAGAATTATTTGTCAAGACCAGTTGCCTATATAAACATTGATGTTTAAACACCAAAAATAACCACAGACTTTAATACCTAAACTGTATATTGCTACTGCTCCTTTTATAAACATCTTAAGCTATTCACTGAAAACAACTGAACTGTGCTCCCCATAAAGCAGTAACTTGAGCAATATTTTTTCAGGGTAGGGAAAGCTCACCAACAATTTCAGAAGTTCTGCGATATCAGAATAAAATAAATAAAATTAGAATATCAACCAACCGCTCAACTAAATATATATTTGGGAACACCACTTCTAATGAAATTAACACAATAAAAAAAATACAAGCAGCCAGGAGACACGATTTTCTATCTTGAAATATACCTTTGGTTCATCATATCTGGTATCCGGCAACAATGACAGTGGTCAATACCAAATACTTCAGAGCAGCACAGGAATTTTAAAAAAATATATAGCAAACAAAAATAACCAAGTAACTTTTTTCTTCTTCTCCTCTTTTTTTTCCTAAACAATATATGAATAATAATGCTTCTCTATGAAATCATGCCCCCAGCCAGCATAATTGAGCAACATTTTCTGTACATGCTCATCAACCCGATGCCATGAGATTTGACAGTGTAGTATTTGACTAATTCCAAGTAAATCCGGTAAGTTACCTCTGCATTCAGTAATATGAAACATTTCTTTCACCACATTCTTCAAGAACAGGTTTTTTAATTTTACCAGACATGAACCTGACTCCATAGTCTTATATTAAGTCTGCTTTGATGCAGGATAAATCTGAAGTGTTTCTATAGTTTCTGCTGAGTAACAGAGATTCTCTTAAAATTAAAAAAGCTTTATTTCCTTCTGAAATATAGCTAACATGGAATTATACCAAAGTATCTTGTAACAGTATTAATATACTGTTGAATGATCAGTTATCTACAGATATAATATACTGTATTAGCCCAGAAGAAATAAAAGCATAAATCTCTGCAGGTCTACACATGACAAGGGAAACAATCTTCTAGTTATCTGAAGATGGCTAAAAGCATTTCTGTCTTAAACAACAGCTGAAATGCAACAGATGAGCAGAGTCCACTAGGACTCCATCACCATACACCAAGGGTGTCAAACTTATGGCCCCAGGTCAGATCCAGTCCATTGTGCTGTACGATCTGGCCTGTGAGATACTGGACTGGCCCAAGCCTTGTGCACTCCATGTGGCATGTGGGGTATGGGGTGCAGGCTGTGCCCTGGAGTGACCCCCTGTGCTGCCCGCAGCACTGGGGCCAGCCTACATGCTGCAGGCTGTGCAAGCCCTGTGCCAGTCCCTGGGGGTGCGCGCACATTGAACCTTGGGGCCAGTGCATGCTGCACGCAGCATATGGACCGAATCTGATGCTGCGGCCATTTCACAGGGCGTTGGTCTTGGTCTGGCCTGCAAGACTGGTTCAGGGACACTCATCCGGCCCATGCAGCCAAATGAGTTTGACACCGCTGCTGCATACCACAGCGAACTTAAAACAGTCCTCTGAAGATGGAGGCAAACAAAGGCCACGTGGCAGGTCTTAACTGGCTGCAATTCATTTATATAAACATATTTCGGTGTTAGTCAAAGCAAAAAAAAAAATAAGGGAATTCTGTGCCATCTGCAAATGAACCTGGAAATTACATATTGATGAGTGTCTGTTTTCCCCTTTACTTCTCTCTTGAACTAGAAAGCTAGAAAGAGCTTACAAGGCAAAAAAGAATGCAAAAAAGTGGGAGAAGGCATCAAAGCTATTTGAATACAAATTCAGTCAGAAGAAAAAGGCCACCACAGAGCAAAGAACAATTTCAAAGGCTATTGTGGAATATGAAATCCGACAACACCAGGCTGCTCAGGATACCAAAAGAAACCCACTGACCCTTATCCACTTGGCATTCAGGCAAAGCTCAAGCCAGCCAGCTTGGCTGCTAATCCTATTTGACAGTATCAGATTTGGTTCCTATTAGCTGAATCCATTACAGGACATCAGTCACGGTGAGTAAGTAGGGTGCTTATTGAATCCTTTCCCACTTTTGAATAGCTCCGACTGACAGAGACATGAAGTGAAAAGAAAACTTGGACAACTCCAAAGGGAGAAAGAAATTAAGCAACCTAAGTTAACTGTATTTGAAGCGTTAGGCTTTGCATATCACAGTCAATTCACTTTTATTTCATTCTCCTACATTTGAAACTCTTCTCAAATGCTCAAAATTTGCTGTATATAACTCTAACGGAAAACTTTCATTGTTTTGTCTGATCCCAATTACTGGGAGCAGTAAGCCACCCCCAGTGGGGAAAAGAGCAGCCCAAGTCTTTCAAGCAGCACTGTAGTAGTTCACCTCCTGCTGCTACTAGAGTCTCCCTTCTCATGCATTTATTATTTAGCTTGCACTCCTAATCTCTCTTTCATTCTATAAGGCCAGCTTTGGAGTAGGGAAAAAAAGTATGCTGTGCAAGGATACCAGGGAGATGGGCACCAGATAAATGAGAGTCAAAAGAGATACAGGTAGAAAGAGAATATATTTTTATAAGTAAATTTTGCTGGCAGATTAAGCTTGGCCTTTGAGATTTAAAACCCCCTTTTTTTATTACTGTTTTTCCTTGTTCCTAGTCCTTGTCCTGCACAGATTTATCAGATGTTGTATATCAGATACATATCATCCTAAATTTGACAGGCACTTTCATTCATTCTGAAAAGGAAATTAAAAATCTCCCCCACAAGCAATCCGACATGTTCTCAAATGGTTGTGTTAACTTCATATCTCAATTTCAGTGTATTATTTGAGGCATCCCAGGCGCACAAGTCTACTGATGCAAACACTAAGTGAACATACAGTATCTGCAAACAGACGTTCACCCACAGAAGGCCTTCCATTTTCTGATTGATTATTCCCTTTGAATTCTGTATTGGCTTATGGCTTGGGATAAATTGAAGCCCTGGTTTTATTTTGCGTGAGGTCCGTGCTTCCAAAACCACAGACAACATTTTCAGGAAAATTCCTCAAAGGCTGGCAGGACACATAGTCATCACTCAAACACTGTTCCTGGCAGAAGACTCCATTTCTTTATTCATATCAGCTTAGTTTATGGATGGCATCCACCCATAATGACAAGAATCAAGGTCTGTGGCAGCCAGGTGATGCCAATTTCAACAAAGTGAGTGCAAGTCTTTCTCTGCACATGGAAATGCCTGTACAAACAACCACCCAGGTGCTGCTAGCCCTTTCCTGACTTCTGTTCCTTGGGCAGTGCTATTTTAACCCAAGGTGAGTGATGATTACTTGCATAATAATCATCACTCATATCTTTAATTATATGTCTGTGTTACAGCCTGTAAAATACTCATGGAGATAGGGCTGTGACTGGCTTCTATGCAAGAATGTGCTTGCCAACCTTTCTGCACCCATTATTCATCTTCCTCATTGTACACAAGTATCTCAGACATCAGTTACCAGCAGCCCTCTTCAACTTGATATACAAACTCTCTTTCCTGCAAACATGCACAGCAAATACAAGAGACTCCAGAGCTTTCTCTTCAGCTGGATATCACACACTTTCCTCAGATATGTGAACATACACAATCATCACAGAACCATAGAGAAGCAGGGCTGGAAGGGACCTCCAGAGGCCATGTAGTCCACCCCCTGCCTGAGACAGCATCATTCCTATGCAAACCATCCCATATAATCCATAATCTAAACTCCAGATTAAGACTACCATGAACCCTGACACAACAAAGACATAAGACCCTAACCTGCCACAGGCAAAGCAGGTGAAGCATGGCAGCCAAAGTCCTTCTCCAACAAAATATTGCCAATATATGCTCAAGAGATCCTATGTAGAGGGCCATGTCTGTTCCCCCACTACAATGCAAGGCAAAAAGGGTGAATCTACATGTGCTATTACTGTGCATGAATAAACTCCAGAGTTTATTGCTCTGGAGTTAATTGCTCCTGGGCGTGCCACTTGAATGTACACTGGAAAACAATTAACTTGGGAGCAATATGATCCAGACTTTATTCATGTGCAGCAAATGGAGCTGGGTCAGAGCAGCCCTGGCTGGCAGGGGATGCTGGGGGTCAGCCTGCCAGCCCAGGGCTGCTCCCCTGGTTCAACGTGTTGCAGAGGACACAAGGGAGCTTCAGTGTGGCTGGGACACAAGGGAGCTTCAGTGTGGGGCTAGCCAGCAGGAAACCCCCACACTGATGCAGCCTCATGTCCCAGCCAGCCCCCCAGCATCTACACATGCACTGCTGCACTGTGTTTTAAATCCAGTGATGGAGAGCCCACAACTTCCCCACACAGTCTATTCCACTGCCCCACTATTCTCACAGTGAATATTTTTTTCCAGATATCCGGTCCAAACTTACTTTGCTGCAATTTCAAGCCTTTGGTCCACGTCCTCCTCCCTGCAGCAAGACAAAAAAGAAGTTCTCCTCTTCTTTATGGCAGCCCTTCAACTATTTCAAGGCTGCTATCATATCTCCTTAAACGCCTTTCATGGCTAGTTCCTTCAACCTCACCTTGTATGACTTGGTTTCCAAGCCCTTGATCATCTTTGCTGCCTGCCTCTGGGGCCTCTCTAACTTCTCCACATCCTTTTTAAAATAGAGCCCAGAAATGAACACAGTACTCTAGATGAGGCCTAACCAGTGCTGAGTAGAGAGGCACTAGCACCTCCTGTGTCTCGCACCTAACGCTTGCACCACATCGCCTTTTTGTGCAGCTGAATCACACTGCAGACTCATACTAAGTCTGTAATTAACCAAGACTACTCCTATGTCCTTTTCCCTAGTGCTCCTATCCAGCCAG